TCCCCGGGTCATATAGGTGGGAAGAAGTAGCACCGCTCCCTTCACCACTCCCTGGGCTGCCTCCTTCCTGTGTGATTGCTGGGAGCCTCCTATATAGAGATCCCAGGTCCCAAGTCCTCTTTCGCATCTCCCACTCCCTCCCAACCCTTGAAAACAAAAACAAACCCTGCGATGCAGCACTTACTGCTAACTCCCCACCAGAGATCCTCCAGCCCTGAGCGTGGTGCTGCAACTTCCTGTGCTTTCCCCCAGTCACTGTTACCGCTTCACCCCTTTTCTTATCATGACTGGCGCCACCTCTGTTGCCGTGCCAGGTCCTCTTGCAGTGCACCAAAGGCAAAACTCCCACTGCTTGCCCACTGCTGTCCTGTGTTTCCTCCAACTGTCGTCTCACCCAGACCTCCTGTCCCAGGAACCAACCCCTTATGGAAGGGGGCAGGGCAAGCTCTACCTCTGCTGCTGTGGGGTGGTGGCTGGGGACGGAGGCTGTGGTGGGATCTCCGAGGGGATTTCGCTTCTGTTCCCAGTAGGAGTGCTCTCATTTGTTGGATTTCCCGGTTTATTCTGGGTTTCACAGAGCCCTTCCTCTCTTGGCCTTTGCTGTAGAGTTTGAAAATTCTGCACTTTGAGTCAGACTTGCAGATTTTAGTAATGTCAGATAATCAGACAGGGGAAAAGCAGAATCCAGCGTGTATGGCTTGCATTATTGCGTTAAGAATTCCCTTAACCACTGTGATTTCCCTTTTTCATTTGAGATGTCATCTAGGGAGTTTTCAAAGTCTCAAACCAGAATTGGTTTTCCTTTGGGGACCGGGGAGGCACCTGCGTGTGCTTCTTGGAAGAGTGAGTCATCGTTTTTCTCTATTGAGAAAAAGCTGCCGACATTATACACTATGGTCATTTAATATTAAACATGTATTATACAGGTGACCTGATGGATGGTTTGAGAGGCTGGAGAGCTTGAGTGGAGGAATGCTTTTTACTCTGAGATGGGAAGTGGAAGGACCTTTACAGAGTTCCTCTAAGAAACTTCTGGATCAACTCAAGTGTCATGTTTGGCCCATGATATGGTTTGGCTGTGTCCCCACCCAAATTTCATCTTGAATTGTAGCTCCCATAATTCCCACGTGTCGTGGGAGGGATCTGGTGGGAGGTAATTGAATCATGCTGTTCTCATGATAGTGAATAAGTCTCAGGAGGTCTGTTGGTTTTATAAAGGGGAGTTCCCCTGCACATGCTCTCTCTCGCCTACCAGGAGCAAAGTGAGATGCGACTTTGTTCCTCCTTTGCTTTCCACCATGATTGTGAGGCCTCCCTAGCCATGTGGAACTGTGAGTCAACTAAACCTCTTTCCTTTGTAAATTACCCAGTCTTGGGTATGTCTTCATTAGCAGCATGAGAACAGACTAATACAGTCCAGTTGCTAAATTAGGGAACTGTGCTGTTGTTCAGAAAATGTGATCATGGGCCGGGCGTGGTGGTCCACGTCTGTAATCCTAGCACTTTGGGAGGCTGAGGCAGGTGGATCACCTGAGATCAGGAGTTTGAGGGCAGCCTGGGCACCATGATGAAACCCCGTCTCTACTAAAAATTCAAAACTCAGCCAGGTGTGGAGGCACACACCTGCAGTCCCAGCTACTTGGGAGAATGAGAATCACTGGAACCCAGAAGGCAGAGGTTGCAGTGAGCCAACATTGCACCACGGCACTCTAGCCTGTCTGACAGAGTAAGACTCTGTCTTTAAAAAAAAAAAAAAAAAAAAAAAAAAAAAGATAAAACAAAATGTGATCATGCTGACATCTAGTAACTGGAATTGCACACAAATTATCCTTTTAGTGTGAATTATTTGTTTTTAAAGTTAATTATTTGTTTTAAAATCTTGACCAAGGTCACGTGGCTAATATTAAGACATCTACCATCAGGCTGGGAGTGGTGGCTCACACCTGTAATACCAGCATTTGGGAGTCTGAGGTGGAGGATTGCTTGAGGTCAGGAGTTCCAGACCAGTCTGGGCAACATAGTGAGATCTTGTCTTTTTTTTTTGAGATGGAGTCTTGCTCTGTCTCCCAGGCTAGAGTGCAGTGGCGCCATCTTGGCTCACCATAACCTCCACTTCCCAGGTTCAAGCGATTCTCCTGCCTCAGCCTCCCGAGTAGCTGGGATTATAGGCATGCGTCACCACACCTGGCTAATTTTTGTATTTTTAGTAGAGATGGGGTTTCGCCATGTTGACCAGGCTCGTCTCAAATTCACCCGGCTAATTTTTGTATTTTTAGTAGCGATGGGATTTCACTGTGTTGACCAGTCATGAACTCCTGACCTCAGGTGATCTGTCTGCCTTGGCCTCCCAAAGGGCTAGGATTATATGCGTGAGCCACTGCGCTCAGCCATGTGATCCCACCTTAACAAAAATACTTTAAAAAAATTAGCCAGGCATAGTGGTGTGTACCTGTAGTCCTAGCTACTTGCTTGGGAGGCTGAGGTGGGAAAACTCGGGAGTTCAAGGCTGCAGCGAGCCATGATTGAACTACTACACTCCTACCTGTGTAACAGAGCAAGAGCTTGTCTCTAAAAAATAAAAAGACTTCTACCATCATCCCTCTTGTTAAAAGGCAACGGAGAGTTACTGTTTAATGAGTAGACTTTATTTGTGACAATAAACATTTCTGGAGATGGATGGTGGTGATTGTTGTACAACATGGTGAATGTATTTAATGCCACTGACTTGTGCACTTAAAATGGTGAATTTTATATTATGCTTATTTTAGAACAGTAAAGTTTTAAAAATTACAAAAAAAAAACCAAGAAAAAAAAAAAAAGAAGGCTAGTATTTGCAGGAGTGGAACTAGGATTTTGCCCAAATTGCAGACTTCCTTCACCCCAATTTTCTTTTTCTGTTTTAATGAAGCACAGCATATTTACAATAAAGTCCATAAAGTACACTAATCTTAATCTTAGCTATAAAGCTCATTGCATGTTTACATTTGTTTATACTTGTGTGACCACCACCCTGTCAAGATGTCGAACGTTCCAGCACCCCAGAAGGTTTCTTTTCAGTTGTAACTCCACGAGAGGTAACCACTATTCTGACTTGTATTACCATCATTTGATTGTGCAGCTTTTAAACTTAATACAAGTGGAATCAGGCAGTATATACTCCTTTGTGTCTGCTTCTTTCACTTAGCATAATACCTGGGACAGCCACCCATTTATTAGTGTATCAGTAATTCATTTTTTTCCTATTTGCTGTGTAGTTCCCATTGCATTTATCCTTTCTGTTGAAGGACATTTGGGGTGTCCTAGTTTTGGGCTGCTATAAAAAAGGTGCTATGAACATTCTTTTGAGGTACCTATGTACTCACTTCTCTTGGGTGTGGATCTAGGAATGGGATTGCTGAATCACAGAGGACTGTGTGCTGTGCTTACTTAGGGGTCTCCCTTCTTCGACTTGGTGCCTTTCAGCAAATGTTTGTCCTACCCCTTTCATGACAGGGAAGAAAGGGAAGCGAGCACAGAGGGCGTTGCTTTCTTCTATCTTCCAGCCTTGGTGTTAGTAGATACTGCCACTTTCCAAAGCAATTATGCCAGTTTACACTTCCACCCATAGGGCACGCGCGTTCCAGTTGCTTCACAGCCTCACCAACACTTGGTGTTGGTGTTTTTTCACCATCAAGCTATGGTGGGCTGAGGGTAGTTATACCCTGAAATTTAAATGATGCAAAGATGGAAACTTTAAAAAATTGTGGAAATATTTAAACTTCTAACTCTCAGTAAATGACCCCAAAGCCAGTGGAGTAGGATGGAGCAGGGCTTTTCCCCTCAGCCTGTGTGATGGGCGGGGCTCGCCCACTGCATGTCCACATTGATTTAAGGGCTTTTCCATACTGTGTGCTCCGGATGTCAGATACATTAGACGGCTCTGGGCAGCTGCCTTCTCCAGTCTTTTTGCACCGTTCCTCTCCAGAGCCTTCTTTCATGAAGATTAAACAGTGGTTGAGAGAATTTAGTTGTGGTTTTTCTCATTAACCTCAAATGTAATCTATCTGGGCCTGACGTGTGGATCACTTAGGAGTCTCCTTTCTTAGACTTCAGCACCTTTTAGCAAATGTTTGTCTCATGACAGGGAAGAAAGCAAAGCCAGAACAGGGGGCTCTGCTTTCTTTTGTCTTCCAGCCTCCAAGAAAGTTCCTTTCTCACCTTTGAACACATTTTCTGTGTGAGATAATCTACAGAACGCGTGGTGGTGAGGCCACAGCAGATACTCAGATTGTTTCTCTCCCTCCACATCCTCCTGGCCTATGTCATGAGCCCTTTTTTGTTGTCCTTGAATTTCTTGTGCATTGCCCTACCCTGCCTTTTGCTCATCTCCCAGTTCTTTTTTCATTGGTTCCCATTCTTTTTTTCCCCTACCAGGAAAGCGGATTTATTTTGTATTTAATATTTTTGTTTAGAGACAAGGTTTCACTTTGTCACCCAGGCTAGAGTGCAGTGGCACAATCATAGCTTACTGCAACCTTGAACTTCTGGGCTCAAGCAATCCTCTCACCTCAGCCTCCTGGGCGTCATCATGCCCAGCTAATTTAAAAAAAAATTAGTGAGACACAGTCTCATTGTGTTGCCCAGGCTGGTCTTGAGCTCCTGAGCTCCAGCAGTCCTCCCACCTCAGCTTCCCAAAGTTCTGGGACTATAGTCGTGAGCCACGGTGCCCAGCCACATTTTTTAAGGCTCATTACTTGAAGTGTGACCTGATGGTATTCTTCACGCACAGTCTTATGCTGCCCTTTGAAACAGTCATGGGAGATCATACTCGGACCTGTAATGACAGAAACAGGTTTGTGTAGCTTTGCATTTTTTCATGTCACTCTATCATGCTACTCAAAGTGCTGTTATTGTATCTTGACTGCTGGGCACATAGCCCAGCTCCCATGCTCTGCTTGTTTATAGCGCTCCTTCCTGAAAACCACCTCTTCATCCTCTCTCTTTCCCTCCACCTCTCTCAGCTCAAGAGGGCCAGCAGTGAGGACACGCTCAACAAGCCAGGAAGTACCACTGCATCGGGGGTGGCTCGCCTAAAGAAGACCGCCACTGCCGGAGCCATCTCGGAGCTCGCCGAGAGCCGCCTGAGGAGCGGCACAGGTAGGAGGGACCGGGCAGGCGGGACCCGGCAGGCCTTCAGTCCTGGCCACATGGAAGCACTTCAGTGACCCATGACCCATCCAGTCCTTCCCTCGTCAGATATTTCTTGACCACTTACCCTGTGCCAGACCTGTTTTAGGCAGATGACGTCACTGCCCACAGGGAGTGTACATCTAGAGTGGGGAGACCGATGAGAAACAAAAGGTAACTGGGTGTGCTGTGGTTTCTTTGGTCCCTCCAGAGGTCCATTTGTCACCATGCATGTGTGAAATCCTTCTGACATGCAGGCAGGGCGGTGTATGTTGTGGGGCTGTCTGGATGCAGAATGCATTAGAGAAATAAATGAATCCTGCGGATCCCTTGCAGAGGTGGATGTCTAATATTTGTACTGAACCCTATGGAAAGCTGGCAAGAGCCTCGCCCAGCAGCTGTGGAAGGTTGCTCAGAGTGACCTGGACGGCAGTGGCAGCTGGAAGCTGTGAACCTTCTCAGTGTTACTCATTTTCTGAGAATCCGAAAAGGTTTTTCAATCATTCTATTTGAGTTCAGAGCATGTGAAACATGCAATATCGAAGAATTTGTTTAATTTTCTCTTTGCGCATATAGATAATAACTCTAAGCTTTCATAGTCTAACTCTTACAGTGCAGCCCTCAGTGTATTGCTAAACTGTCTAAGATGGGAAAAATAACTGAAATACATCATTATTAATTTTTAATGTGTTGAAGGGTAGTACACTTATAATTTTTGTGCTTTTTTCGTAAAAGTCACATTCAGTCTAGATCTCAAAAGGTATATTTTAATTTATTCGGTTTTCAAAAAGTGGAATCTGTGAAGCCTATATGTGGCTTTCTTTTATTGGATATAAGGGGAATCGCCTGGTTTTTCTATATAATGGCTTTACCATTGTAAACACTGATATTGTACTAAACGTACACACACACTTGGTTTTTAAAATACGGTAAACAAAAGTACCATTTATTTTTATCAAGCCAGCCTAACACTGATTCCAAAAGTTAATAAAGCCCCACTCAAAAAAAGACAGACTGGGAGGAGCCTAGGGGCAGGGTGGGAAGGAGGACCAGCCGAGTCCGGATGTGGGACACAGTGAGTGTGTGTGGTGTGTCCCCAGGCGCAGGAAGGTGGCGAAGGGAGGTGAATCCCAGTGGATGGAGCGAGGAGAAGGGTGGGAGGAAAAAAAGGTGGGAGGAGGACCAGGTGGGAGGGTGGCAGTTCACTCAGGACCCCGCGGGGGCAGCACGATGAGGTGGGTCACAGTGTTCCTGAACGGCAGCCCTGAGAACAGAAAGGTGGTTGCTGTGTATGGAACTTTATCGGATTTGCTTTCTGTGGTCAGCAGTAAACTCAGCATAGAAGCCACCAGTGTGTATAATGGGAAAGGTGGGCTGATTGATGATATTGCTTTGATCAGGGATGATGATGTTTTGTGTGTGGAGGAGAGCCGTTTATTGATCCTCAGACAGATTCTAAGCCACCTGAGGGATTGTCAGGATTCCACACAGACTGGCTAACATTAAATGTTGGAGGGCAGTACTTTACAACCACACAGAGCACTTTAGCGAATAAAGACCCTGACAGTATGCTGGCCCATGTGTTTAAGGACAAAGGTGTCTGGGAAATAAGCAAGATCATAGAGGAGCTTTCTTAACTGACCGAAGTCCTGAGTACTTTGAACCCATTTTGAACTACTTGCGTCATGGATAGCTTATTGTAAATGATGGCATTCATTTATTGGATGTGTTAGAAGAAGCAAGATTTTTTGGTATTTACTCATTGATTGAACACCTAGAAGTGGCAATAAAGAATTCTCAACCACTGGAGGATTATTTACCAATATCCCGAAAGGAATTTGTCTGATTTTTGCTAGTAACTCCAACCAAGTCAGAACTGCGATGCCAGGGTTTGAACTTCAGTGGTGCTGATCTTTCTCGTTTGGACCCTCGATACATTAACTTCAAAACGGCCAATTTAAGCTGCTGCAGTGTTGCACGTGCAAATCTTTGCTGTGTAAGTCTTGAACAAGCCGATCTCACTGGATCAGTGCTTGACTGTGCAAATCTCCAGGGAGTCAAGATACTCTGTTCTAATGCAGAAGGAGCATCCCTGAAACTGTGTAATTTTGAGGATCCTTCTGGTCTTAAAGCCAATTTAGAAGGTGCTAACCTCAAAAGTGTGGATATGGAAGGAAGTCACGTGACAGGAATTAACCTGAGAGTGGCTACCTTAAAAAATGCAACGTTGAAGAACTGTAACCTCAGAGGAGCAACTCTGGCAGGAACTGATTTAGAGAATTGTGATCTATCTGGTTGTGATCTTCAAGAAGCCAAGGAGAGGGTCCAACATGAAAGGAGCTAGATTTGAAGAGATGCTGACACCACTACACATGTCACAAAGTGTCAGATGAGAATTTTAGGGGCTGGAGGAAGATGTACAAGATGAAAATATTTTCCTTATCACTTCTCTTTCTCCATCCTCTCAGTTGTCTAGAAGAAATAACACTGTAAGGAAATTTAAAAAAAAACATTTAGAGGATTATGCTTGTTCTCAGTGGTGCATAGAGGAAAAAATAGATTTTTTTTCCATATTCTGATTTTTTTTTTTTTTTTTTGAGACGGAGTCTCGCTCTGTCTCCCAGGCTGGAGTGCAGTGGCATGATCTCGGCTCACTGCAAGCTCCGCCTCCCGGGTTCACGCCATTCTCCTGCCTCAGCCTCCCTAGTAGCTGGGACTACAGGTGCCCGCCACCACGCTCGGCTAATTTTTTTGTATTTTTAGTAGAGACGGGGTTTCAGCGTGTTAGCCAGGATGGTCTCGATCTCCTGACCTTGTGATCCACCTGCCTTGGCCTCCCAAAGTGCTGGGATTATAGGTGTAAGCCACCGCGCCCGGCTTATATTCTGATTTTTAACAGAAAAACACTCATTTAATAGATGTAGGGAAACTAGATATCGCTGCCTTTTGAACACGGTAGAGGGGTTTATCTGGTTTTATGACCAGGAATAGTATATATTATATTTGCTTTTAAATAGGCGTGATGTAGAAATACCATCTTGGTTTGAGATGCATTTGAGGATTTTAATTTATGGAAAGCACAACATATGCGATTATATTTATTGAATACCTAGATGCAGTATGGATATTTAAATTATAAAAACTTTATGAAAACTTTGAAAAGGTTGTTCAGGCTTATAAATAGTTTTAGTGATGCCTCCCTCTTTAAATACCTGTCACACCGTATGAATATGGTGAGTTCAGACTTGCTAAGACTCTTTTCAGGTTCATTTGTATAATGTTTACTTTTTAGAACAAAACACTAGCTAAGTTAAAGTAATATCCACTTCTTCCTGATTGAGACAGAGTGGAAAGAAGGACATCGCTGTACATCACTGTCATTCCAAAGGTACAGTGGAACTCTGGATGGAGAAGAACTTACCTATCACTACAACACTTATAAATGAGCATTTCTCAGAATTTTATTCTAGGCAAGTTCCACTCAACACCAGACCAAGCAATTCTGTCTATTCACACTATTAGCCTAGTTTTCTCATACAATCAGCACAAGCATAGGAAGATACTTCAAAACCAAAAAGCCAAGGTGCATCATTAATATTCATTTAATTCAAATACCAAATAGTTTACATAGGGCCAGCTTAGAAATAGGTATTAAATCCAGATCTACTGCAATCAAAGCTTACACAATATCAATGAATATGGTAGAGGTGCCTGTTAAAAGCCAATGTAGTATAATTGCAGCTAGAACCCTACAGTGAGGAATGAGGAATTTTAAACATACATTTGATTACAGCCACCAAAATATATATGTATATATAGAAAGTAAAAATAAAGGTATTTGGCTGGTCCAAGAGGTAATACCAATCAGTCAGCACCTATGATTCTTTTACTTACATTTTTTGATTTTTTGTTTTTGTTTTTGTTTTTTGAGACGGAGTATCACTCTGTCGCCAGGCTGGAGTGCAGTGGTGCGATCTTGGCTCACTGCAACCTCTGCCTGCCGGGTTCAAGCGATTCTCCTGCCTCAGCCTCCCAAGTAGCGGGGACTACAGGTGCATACCACCACGCCCAGCTAATTTTTGTATTTTTAGTAGAGACGGGGTTTCACCATGTTAGCCAGGATAGTCTTGATCTCCTGACCTTGTGATCCGCCCGCCTCGGCCTCCCAAAGTGCTGAGATTACAGGCATGAGCCATGGCGCCCAGCCTGTTTTTTTATTTCAACAAATTTTAGCCCAATTTTCTTGAGTCATTTTCTCTCTGCAACAGCAGAGGAAGGGCCTGTACCTCCCTACCAATGACCTGGTGTCCTTACATCTACCCCAAGAGCAGGGATATTAGCTGTGTCCACAGGGTTCTGAATTCTACAGACTCATCAACATGAGGCAAGGAATCATTGAAAACCACTTTTGTCTCCTTTGGGAGAATGACACATCTTTAGTATTTATGTAGCCTATTCTTCTATATCTAAATATGCAAAGCTTTCCTTAACAGTAACGGGTACATATGCATAGTGGGAGGAGATCAGACCTTTACAAGTGAAGGAAAGCAACTTCAGAAATGAATTATTTTCTTTGCTTTATTATTTTTCCCAAGACAGAGAAGTATTGTATTGAGAAATTATCTATTTTCATAATCAACATATGCCTAAATTATATTTAAATCATTTCACTCTGTACTATATTTTCAGGAATTATAGAATGTGTTATTCGTTCACTTAAAAGTACCTCTGTAGAAATAACCTAAAACTGCAGAGGGATCTGAAAGATCTAAACATGGTGTGCTTAGAAACTACAGATTTTAGATCTAATGTATACTGCATTAATAAATGATATAAAGTGTTGAAAAGGAAAAAAAAGACAGACTGATCCCATGATCAAGTATTAATATAAAAATTTGAGATCAGCCGGGCGTGGTGGCTCACACCAGTAATCCCAGCACTTTGGGAGGCCAAGGCAGGTGGATCACGAG